CAGGATGTTTTTTTTTTTCTCTTATAGCCTTAAATTGTTTGTAAGCACATTGTTTGTAAGGTAAATCCAAATGTAAAATTGTGGAAAATACCAGGATATGTTGTATATTGGCATTCAGGCTAAAATACAAAGATTATTTTTATTTATTTATTTACTTATTTAATTTTAATTTTTTTTTGGGGGGGTCCATGTTGCCCAGCCTTAGCTGTAAATGGATGGATGAAGCACAAAACATGAAATCTGCCATATATTAGTTAGGGATGCACCGATATGAACATTTTGGCCTATACCGATAATTCTTTATATTTGAAAGCCGATAACCGATATGTTGGCCGATATAAATTAATACTTTTATTTAGAAAGGATCCTTTAAATTGATCAAAAGTGAAGACATTTATAATGTTACAAAAAATTTATATTTCAGATAAATGTTGCTTTGAAATCACAGGAATAAATTACATTTTAAAATATATTCAAATAGAAAGTTATTTTTTAAAATTTAAATAATATTTTACAGTAGTACTGTTTTTACTGTATTTATGCAGCCTTGACCATAAGAGACTTCTTTCAAAAACATTATATACACACACTACCATTCAAGTTTTATATATTTAAAATATAATATATTTAATACTTCAATTTAATATTAAAATTATGAAAAAGTTGTTTGAATCAATGATTCAATGACTCACTCATAAACCTACTGGATGAATCAGCGTTTTCGAACGATTCTCTTGAATAAATGATTAATTCAATTATACATGTTTTAAGTCACTTTTCGCCACCTAGTGGCAAAACAATGCAATCGACACAAACGTTATGAGGCAGTTACATTCAAATGCGGATTTGCTCTATTTTGGTCGTGCTACCATAGACATCAATGTTTATATCTGAATTATAAACTTTCATCCCAGTATTTCTGTGATAATATGAATGACTGTAAGACAAATAATGCTGTGTAGTTGAAAAGACTGTTTGTGAAGTGCAGTATGTTTGGGAACAAGTGCAGTATGGAGTACCTCAAGGCTCAGTACTAGGGCCGTTACTTTTCACGCTTTACAAGTTATCCTTGGGAGATATCATCAGGAAACACGGTGTTAGCTTTCACTGTTATGCTGATGATACTCGGCTCTATATTTCTTCGCAGCCCGGCGAAACATACCAATTTGAAACGGGAGAATCGTTGTCATTTAGAAATGAGATCGTGTGGTTGTCTAGATCGAGATCTTGTAACGATTAATCGTGCAGCTCTAGTTCTCGGTATTTCGAACATTACCGAAAGAGACTGTTCTTAGTTCAGTGTACTGTTGCTTCGAGAACTGCTTCTATCCAAATGGTGTTCCTCGAGTCAAGAGGGCATGTGACTTGACTGCAGTAGTTTGATGTTTATATTTTCAGGGTTTCTGCAGGTCTTAAAATGCCTTAAATGTAGGGTAGGCAATTTCAGAGAGGCTAGCAATAGAAAGCTAGCTTTGAAAACCTAAGATCCCACCCTCACTGCAAATCACTCTCCAAAGCCACACCTCCTCCAAAACACTCAAACGCACACAGGCAGACCTAAGGCTAACCAGCGACACAATGAGACACGACGTTGGTGGATTACCCGGCACTGTCAGATTACCTCATGTCTCATTCACCTGTGAGAAAACATTACAGTACAAAGCGCATAATATTACAGTAACGCCGTCCATTCTCGCTCGGTCTGCAGTAGCATAATGAAACGCGCTGATGACCTATCATGTCTGTGCAAACAAGGTGTGCAGAGGTATGCAAATACGTACGCTGACGGACAGGTAGGACAGCCTATCGTAATCCTCGGACCGAGGAATATGATTGGACGAACATTTTATGGTCCTACACCTTCCACAGACTTTATAAATAAATTTAGACCACTTAACTTAGTGATTGCTATCTGGATGTGAAGAGACTTTCAACCAGCATAACAAAAAGTTTTTGAACCATTAAACCATATCACCTTCCCTGCCTTTTCACCCTTCAACAAATTAAGGATTTGAATTGGAACAGTCATGGCATTAAATACTGCATGCATCAAGTGCAGCTAATGCAACTTAAGCCCTGTCCCAAATGGCACACTTCATGTGCACATTCGGTCTTGAGGACTTACAATGGCCGCTGCATGCGTTAAGTCCACGAGACCGCAGGGTGTCCCATTCGTCATTTTAGAGTTCAGAAGGGTGCTTGCGAGAGCCCTCGATGCGCACTTCTGCTGAGCTCTCAGGCCTGCGAGCTACAGTCAAGGCTAGAAGGCATACAGCAAAAACTACTGGGCATGCGCACATCAATATAGCGTCATTTTTCTCACACTGTACAACAATTACTATTTTTGCATTATTGTAAGTGGTAGCTTTAGGGTTGGGGTAGGTGTAGACGTTAATAAAGCACAATCTAATAGGTAGAAAATTTAATTTATTGTTAGCTTCCGGTTTTGTGCTGTATCCCTTCTAGCGACAACCGTGAGCTATGCAGTCGACTTCTAACCGGCAGTCAAAGCGGCATTATGTCACGAAAGTATGGACTCTGAGGAAGACCGTGAGGGTTTAGGGTGCTATTTGGGACAGGGACTTATTGTGTGCTCCATAGACGTTTACATTCAGAGAACATTTTTATGTCTTGTGAACCCTTTCATTTATCCCTTCAATTTTCTTAGAATGATCTCAAAAAATGTATCTTCATAAAACTGGCAGAAACCCTGACAATATGCTACTCTAATTAATATTAAAAAATCCCAAATGTCTTGAGGGAAAGTAGTATTTTTTGTATTTATTTTTTTTTGGTATTGAATGAAGCAGAGTTAACTACTTGTTGGTCATCTTGATCAGGTAGATCATATTTTCAGGACGTACTGTAATGTGCTTTCAGATAAATTAACCAGTGGAACAAGGGAGGCCCTGTGGGCTCCTGGCCAGAGTGGGTCTCCTGGATCTGCAGGCCCAGTGATGCAGCAGATGTCTCGCCGCGGCTCCATCAACAGCATCTCATCTGTCACCTCTGTGTTGGAGGAGAAAGACGAGGACCGTGTACGTTGTTGCCGTCACTGCATGGATGCACTTCTCCGGCATCAGCACAAACTGGAGGAAAAAGACCACGTGCCTGATATCGTCAAACTCTATGAGGTAAAATCGTGTTTAATATAATTTAATTAGATTTTTTTTATCCCAGAGTAAACATAAATGTGTAAATGACATTTAATCCCAACTGTGTTCATTAGAAGTGAATGTTTTTGGAGACCACTTCTTGATGTTCTCAATGGAAATAAGACATGGCTTTCTTTTTGCCATCACTCAAAGAGAGAAAGCGAAAGAGATGACCAGTTAGAACTGACATGCTACATGCGCTTAATGGTATTCTTTCTTCTTTTTTCTCGTCAAAATGAGTTTGGATGGCATTATTATGTATTAATTTAGCCACTTTGTGTAAAATGGCAGTAGACAGCTCCCCTATCACTGTCCATGTTTTGATTTTAACAAATTGTTTGAGCAAATGCAGAGATGTGTAGATTTAGACATTGTTTAATTGTGTAATTAAACATTGAATGACTAGTAATGTCTCATGCAGCCAGTTTAATATAACAAATGCTTGTTGATTGGACCCTGATGATTGCTGCTTGCAGCTAGGTATTTTTGTAATGGTAGCTCTTAATATACAAAGCATAGTCTTTAGTCATAGTATTGATTGTTTTTGCTTTGCAGAGGTTAAGGACATGTATGGAGAAAGTTGAAGCTAAGGCTCCAGAGTACACACGCATGGCAGAGTCTCTCAAGTAAGCCCTACAAATGCAAAAGCACCACAAATGTACATTTGTTGACTTCTTTAATGATATTAACAAATGTACATTTGTGACCCTGGAGCACAAAACCAGTCTTAAGTCGCTGGGGTATATTTGTAGCAATAGCCAAAAATACATTGTATGGGTCAAAATTATGATTTTTCTTTTATGCCAAAAATCATTAAAATATTAAAGGGGTCATATGATGCTGCTAAAAAGAACATTATTTTGTGTATTTGGTGTAATGAAATGTGTTTATGCGGTTTAAGGTTAAAAAAACACATTATTTTCCACATACTGTACATTATTGTTTCTCCTCTATGCCCCACCTTTCTGAAACGCGTCGATTTTAACAAATCGCATCGGTCTGAAAAGCAAGGTGTGCTCTGATTGGGATGTAACGATTCACTCAACTCTCGATTCGATTCGATTCACGATTTTGATTTCACGATTATTATAATTTTTACAAAATTAGATTTAAGACAAATTATAAATTAAATGTATCCTTTTATTATTGCTTGGACAAAATGCTGCACATTTCTTTGTGAAATTGAAATATAATACTATAATAATATACTAATATAGCACTTGCATATTACTGCTCTTTTGTTGGTTTTGATTG